GGWTCGTTGATATAAATCCTCCAAAACCTCATAATGAGCTCTCTGTAGTCAAGCACTAAAGAAATGGTTCTAGTGAATTCAAGTACTGGTTCCCTTGGAACATAAGATCTACCGAATCTCTTTTCAGCTTCCTTCTTTATCCAGCGTAGGGTCTCAGAAGAGTATTTGAAACCTTGCATGATCGGCATGAACTTATTTTGTCCATGTTCATTCTTGTATATGAACCCAAGTTCAAGTTCTAGAATTATAGATGTTGAACAAACATTTTGGATACCCTCAAGCTCTTTGTTGGGCGTTGTAACGACAAGTTGCTCTTCTTCTATTTCGAGAGCTATTTGGAAGTCAAGTTTTGAGCGATACTTGACCAATTTCCCTATAGCTTCCTTGATCGTGGATCTGGCCACATAGTACTTAATTCCTTTATCGAAGCTTTAGTTACAAAAGTATATATATCTATCAAGTCCCAAGGGTTGATATTGATGAGATTGTTATCGTTGAACACGCTAATCATACCATGTGCTCTATCTATAGTATATTCTAGGTACTTTATAATTTTGTGCCCAAATGTCCTGACTTTGAACAGTCTTGATTTCTTCATTTGAGTAGACTCTTATGTTGTCTTGCTTTAGCCTTGCATATCTTTGTCTTACACCAGCCAACACCTTTAGATGGAGGTTTGGTGGTTCCAGATAGACATGTTGTTCCTCCTCAATGTATAAGTATTGATGAATATCTTCCATCAACATTGATTCTTTAAGATTTAAAGTTGAGTCTTGAACCATTAGTCATCTCAAAGACTCCATCCCTTGAATAATTGATCGCATTATGTCCTCAGATGACATCTGGGTTTGAGGAACATAAGTGGTAAGGGATTCTGGAGTTGGTTCTGGCTCTTGAAAGATTAGATCTGTTACATACATGGGGACGTACTCTAGGATAACCTCATCTGAGGCATCTTGTTCTTGACACTGGTTTCTTAAATAGTTGACTCTTCGGGGATTGAGGACTCGAGATGAGTCCCTAGAGATTTCACGTTGGTATAATCCACCTATAATAATAATAATTACCACTCAAGTATCGGAATGGCTTTGTTTGAGGCCTTGTATGGCCGAAAGTATAAAACACCCGTATATTGGCTCGAAGCGGGAGAGAAACAATTTGTCGGACCCGAAATCATGCAAGAAATAACGGAAAAGGTAAAAAGCATTTAAGAACGCTTGAAAGCGGCTCTATCGACAGAAGAGTTATGCCAACAAAAAAGCAGAGACCAATCGAGTTCCAAATGGGGGACAACATCATCTAGAAAGTGTCCACATGGAAAGGTATAATCCGGTTCGGAAAGTGCAGGAAACTTAGTCCCATTTTCCTTGGACCCTTCACTATTTTAGGTCAGTTTGAACTTCAAGCATAAAACTAGATCTACCGCCAGAAATGGAAAGATTTCATAACATGTTCCATGTGTGCTACTTGCATAAGTGCTCAGCGGAGGAAGAAAGTTTTTTCCCTTTATTTGAGATTCATGTGGATGGAAACTAACGCTATTTGTAGAAAAAGTCAAAGAAACTTATTTCACAAGGAGGTAACGATAGTCAAGGTTCAATAGAAGCATCATCTGGGTGGGAACGTGACCTGGGAAGCCGAAAAGGATATAATGGTGTGTGTGTGTGTGTTCGTTTAGGGTGAAGTTTCAAGGATGAAATCCTTTCCAAAGTGAGGAAGATTATAGCATCCGGTATTTTTGGGTAAGTATAATCCTAAGCATTATAAAGAAATTTGGTGTTTTTATTTATGTTTGAGAGCTTAGTGTGTTTGGTGGACTTGTTAAACAAAATTAGACTTTACAACTTGAACTTCCAATAGCCTTAGATGGAGATGAGGTGCGACACTTGCAACTGCAACCTTTGCACTTCAAGCCAGTTTTGCACCCGACGTACCATAACTGGCCATTTTCAAAGCTTGCGACCTTTGAAGGTGCAACCATTTTGCTTCACATTACCAGCATCTAAATATTGTACCATAAGGAGGCCTTGGTCATGAGACCTTCATGCCACGACCCTAGGGTCGCAGGCTAGGGTCACATATCGCAGCAGATACATAAATTCGAATTTTTAGCCCTTAGTTCATTCATTGCTTAAATATACCTCTCCCACTCCTCATTTATTTTGGTTAGGAAGCATTCAAGACTAAGAGATTAGTTCCTTGGAAGTAGTTAAGAGCCTCCAAGCTAGGAGATTTAGGTCTAGGATCAAAGCTTCAAGATCTCCTTTTCATTTTAGGGTTTTGCTTGGTTTTCTAGGTTTTCTCTAAAAACCTAGCAAGTGAGTATAAAATGTTTTGTAGAACTAGATACATGTCAAAATGATTAACTTACTTACATTTCTAGCTTTACTTCAAGTATTAGTTCATTATTTGGTCATATAATCTCATTCGAAGACATTTTGTGCATTAGATGGAAATCCTTTTATGGGGGTTATGTGTCTACCCTCTTTCCATGATTAAACTTCATTTGAAAATAGATTATGTAATGATTGACTTAAAGTCTTGAGGTCTTTACATGGTTTTAATATGTGAATTTGTTGACCAAGTTTGGGGTCAATGCAAAATGGGAATTTATATTGAATATGATGAGTATGGTGGTTGAACCACTAGTCTTTCACTTTGAGTTACAAGTATATCCCTGTTTTAATCATATGATATTCCCTACTTATCATTTTATGTTTGGATGATCTCTTGAAGAAGACACTAGGAGGGTTGAGTCTTGAGGTGCTACCTTAGAGGTAGGCACTAAGAAGTCTGCCACTTGAGGTGTTACGTTAGAAGTAGAAACTAAGTGTGTGAAGCCTTAAGGTGTTACCCATAAGGGTAAATAGTAAGGTCAACCAACTCTTGAAGTGAAACTTTCTAAGAGAACACGTGTCTCCCCAGTGATTCCTAACCAATGTTAGAAATGGTTTTAAATAATCAATTGCAGTTGCTTAATTTATATTCATGCTCACTAAGCTCTTTGGCCTTAACAGTTGTTTTGTGTCAACATGTAACTCGGGTTCAAGTGTCAGGGTCACTAAGCAGGCTTGACCAACCCTTGTAGAAAAAGAGCTTTGTGAGCATTTTTGAAACGTCATGCAATATTACAGTCTTTGATGGTTTGAGTGACACCTGATTGTAATATAGTTTTCTTAAAGTTTAGATTGGAAGGTTGTTAGCCTTAAACCAATATATTTACATATGTATTTAACTAGTGTTTATTGTTCCCTTTTTAGGTATAGCTCATATCTTGATATTCTATACCACATTTTCGGGTTATTTATGGAAATTTTTGTTGTCCGAATTCTTGGGGTGTTACAAATGTTACCTGGATTCAGATCCTATGCCTCCCACTCGCTCCACAATGTTTCCCAACTTCTTATTTACTAAGCTAAAGCTATTAGGACATATATTTGCAAATGGGTTATCAGTCATTTCAACTCGCATTTGAATTCAAATTTGGTTACTAAATTTCCAAAATCGAGGTCAAGACTAAAAATAATTGTTACTCAAAGATTTTCAACAACGATACTAATTACTTACTTCTTCAAATAGAATATAAATACTCTAAATTTGAGGTCTAATTAAACTAGAACCCAAGGTCATGTCACATAACGATCAAATGGGTATTTTTTGTTTAAACAACAGATATAATAACATAGGCATATTTTTTAAAAAATGGAACCCACAACCTAATCAAAAACCTCTTGCTAATCAAATAATAGTTAATAACAAAAACTGAAAGAAAGAACAAAGGGATGTCTTATTGATGCATAGTGCATACTCTTCTTATCTCACCATGCTTCTTTCCTCTTTTCACACCAACATTTCCCAATTTGTCCATAACCAATGAAAATTCTTGAAAAAACTTGTTCTTGTCCTTGGCCAAAGCTTGGACCAAAGGCCTTGTCCGAGGGTCCAAAAATAAGGCTTTATCACTCGCCAACAATCCCAGTTTCCGTTGCAAATTCTGGTAATATGCATTGTCAAATGCAAAAGGAGTTGTGGCATCGAAAGGTGTCACAACTCCAACATTGCCACCATATTGTGGGCATGACCTTCTAAGGGATTTGAGTAGCCTTGGATCCATATCAGGATCTGGTTTATTTGTCCCTTCAAAGTTGTAAAGACGGTTCACAAAGTTCTTACAGTGGGCAAAGCCGATGGAATGGGCCCCTGATAGGACTACTAGGTCGTTGAGAGTTAGGCCTTTAGATGAGAAGAGCTTAAGCATGTCATCAATAGTGGAATTCGCATGAGGAATATTTGAATACACCAAGCTTGCCATTGATGTTTGTCCATCCCACCTCCCTTTCTTCACCGGATAATATGGCCCTCCAAGCTAGTTTTAAGGAATTCATAAACATGTTTCAATTAACTTGTGATAAATTAGGAAGAAGTGTATATACGAGCAGCCAATATATAACAATTATGCAACAAGCGTCTATGTTAACGTTTTAACTTTTGAAAAGTTCGAAGACACCACCTGTAACATCAATCAACAAACTAGTCAAATAACCTCTAAATCAAAAAAACCATGATAAAAATTATAAGTAGCTCACCACTCAAGAGTTATAAAAAATCTCAATCTCTATACCCGTGAAATGGGTCTATTCTTCTTTGACCGTTGATGACATGCGGGACCCATTTACGACAAAATAAAAAACTCATCAAATTGGCTTAATGTGTTATCAAAATTACTATTCATTTTTAAAAAAAATTGCTATTTTATTAATTGTTTTATATATTTATGGTCATTTCAGTGATTTCTTGTATTTTACATATTTATCATTAATTAAATTATTTCATTATACTTTAAATTAAATCAATTATTGTATTTGTGTATGAAGAAAATGGCATAATCCAACCATTAATAACTAATAATATGCTCTACTTTCCATGATTTGGCATCATGTTCCCTTACTCACAAGATGCTACCAATTTGCTAACCTACAAAACCTATCTAATCTAACATGTGGTGTTGGTTTCTTTAATAAAATCATATGGTATTTTCTTAATATTTTGTATTTTCAATTAAATTATCTTAAAAAATAGGTAAATTTAATTAAAGTTTTTTTTTTATTAATAAACATATTTCACTACGACAAAATTGGGTTTATCAGACGTCATCAATCTCTAAGCGTCCCAATAGACCTCTTTACATGATCAAAATATAAAGTGTCTTATCTAAAGGCGTTGTAATAAGTTTATATGACGGTTTTTAACGTCTTAACAAGTTTTTTTAGGATATTTTTAATATAAAAATCGCATTAGCAACTTTATAGGACATTTTTTAGAAAGTGTCCTATAAACTCAATTTTTTACAGGAGACTTGTTTTTATAAGACAAGTTTTCAAATAGTGTCCTATAAAATTGCTAATGGGACATATTATATTAAAAGTGTCATACAAAATTGTTAATGTGACGTTTTATATTAAAAGTGCCCTAAAAAACTTATTAAGACGCCAAAAAATGTTATATAAACTTATTACAACACTTTTAGATAGAACATTTTATTTTTTTGGTCCTATAAACTAAGTCCTATAAAGAGGTTTATTAAGACGCTTAGAAATTGGAATCGCCCTATAAACCTAACTTTGTTATAGTGTTTTCATGGGATATCTCAAATATTCAAATCAAAGCACCTTTCATATCCATGCAATTTTAATTGTAAACTAAATATTTAAGATATCACATCTCACATATAATAAAACAGAGAATTAATATGCACTACACAAAACAACAAACACATTAAAATACATTTTATTTTCATGCAATTTATCTGATAATATTTATTCTTTAAAATAATAAAAGTAGAATTAAATTATTTACTACTATGATTAGTTATTTGTTTGATTTATGTAATCTCTAATAGAGGGTTCCCTTATGTTGTTAACTGAACAATTAGTATTAACTTGGTATTTTTGTTTTTTTATATATTGATACCACATTACTTAAATATTCCATTCATTTAATTATTACATTATTTAATTATCATATTCATAAAATATTGGAAAAATTACACCAAAATGGAACCAACTTTCACCTGATTTCTATTTTGGGGAACCAATTTTCAAAATCGTCATTTTGGGGAACCAACTTTCACTTGATTTTTATTTTGGGTAACCAACTTTCACCTGATTCCTATTTTGGGGAACCAACTTTCAAAATCGTCATTTTTGGGAACCAACTTGGACCTGATTCCTATTTTGGGGAACCAACTTTCAAAATCGTCATTTTGGGGAACCAACTTGCATTTGATTCCTATTTTGGAAAACTAACTTGCAAAATAATTATAGAAAAATAACTAAAATTCATTTCTTTTCAAAAATTAATGCAATAAAATCTATTTTTCATTTCAAATCTCGTTTTTTTAAATTCAGATATCAAATTGAAGATTTTCAAAAAAAATCCAAATTACCACGATAAAAATTGTTTTTTTTCTAATGCAATAAAAAAATCAATTTAATAGAAAAAAATTAATTGATGCAATAAAAAATAAATATTAAATATCACATTCAAGATTTTTATATCTAACCAATCTGTGTCAATATTAAAGTTTAAATCAAATTTGGCAAATCCAACTAAAAGTTTGATAGAGACCCTTAAATTATCTGTTACATGTTCAACAGATCAATCAGACCCTTAAATAAACAAAAAGTTCGATAAAGACCCCTAAATGACGATTTTAAAAGTTGGTTCCCCAAAATAGGAATCAGGTGAAAGTTGATTCCATTTTGGTGTAATTTTCTCATTTTTCTATAATTATTTTTCAAGTTGGATCCCCAAAATAGGAATTAGGTGCAAGTTGGTTCCCCAAAATGACGATTTTGAAAGTTGGTTCCCCAAAATAGGAATCAGGTAAAAGTTGGTTCCCCAAAATGACGATTTTGAAAGTTCGTTCCCCAAAATAGGAACCATGTGAAAGTTGGTTCAATTTTGGTGCAATTTTCCCTAAAATATTTGGTTTCTTCACTTAATTTTCACATTCATTAAATATTAAGGAATATTACTTAAAGTTCCTTCGTTTATTGTTCCACTTGAAACAAAATCATTGTTTCATCTATAAACTCTCTAGTTTCACCTATGAACTTTGATAAAATAAATGGAACAATCAAAGTTCATAGACGAAACCTAAATCAAAACCATAAATACATCAAACCAATTTCCAAATACGAAACCTAAATGAAACCCACTTATATTAGGAATAAATGGGGTTATAATTACCTTCCAAAAAAATACCACATAATTTGCCTCAAAATTACCCTTGACTTTAATTTCATTTAATATATTTCCTTTCTAATCAGTTTATAATCTCTTATTTAATCATAACAGTTGATTAAAAAAATTATAAACAGCTCAGATAAGTTTGTAAAGTTAACACCAGTGAATTGGTTAAAAAAATATACCTCTTCTCTAATATATGCTTCAAATTTTGCATTTATAACTACTTTTTTATTTTAAATTGTATTCAATAACTCCCCCTTTTTGCAATATTTTAGAGATAATTATATAAATACTAAATTTAGTGCAACATTATTCATTTTTTGCAATATTTTAGAGATAATTATATAAATACTAAATTTAGTGCAACATTATTCATATACATAATTGTTTAGTAATGTTTTGATAAAGTACAAAATGTTGCATTAATTTTAAGATTTATGTACTTTTATTTCCATTTTTTATTGTTGTACAAAATAGTTAACACATTCATGAATTACCGTTGGGAAATTAATTAAAAAAGCAATTTTGACTATATGGTTTCACCTCTTAGCTATTTCTCTTCTATAATTATGAAAATAGCCATAGGTTCGCAATTGACAGGTCCATAAAGGTCAAAATGTAAGGGAAAAAGATGAAGTTTCTGAACTATTGTAGGGACCAAATATATAAATTTGGAAAAACATATCCATAGACATATTTTGTGGACCGTTAACTAATTTACATATTTGGTCCTTATAATTACAGACATGTTCAAAACCTTTATTTTATTTTTACACTTTGATCCTTTTGCAAATTACAGACCTGTCAATTGCGGACATATGGCTATTTTCGTAATTTTGGAGAAAAATGACTAAGAGATAAAACAACTTATTGACTTATTCCGGTGTGGCACCGGTAATAAGTATTTTTAAGTGTTTGGATAAACAGCTTATACCGGTGTCAAACTGGTAATAAGGAATTTTTGAAGAAGTTAAATCATTCTAACTTATAATAAGTTATTGACTTATAATAAGTTATTGACTTATTCCGGTGTGGCACCGGTAATAAGTATTTTTAAGTGTTTGGATAAATAGTTTATATCGGTGCCAAACTGGTAATAAAGAATTTTTGAAGAAGTTAAACCATTCTAACTTATAATAAGTTGATAAGGACTTTTGTAAAAAAATCACATATTGTTTCAAATAAACAATCCCAAACACCCCTAAGATTAAGTTATCAAGTTAGGGTTGTTAAGATTGTTTAATGTTGATAATAGATACACTCATACACCATAACTTATCAAGTTCAGCTATTCCAATTAATTATTGCTGAAAAATTAAGTCAAAATTAAAATTGTTTCAATGACTGCTTAATAACCTATATTATGTTATACAGATAAAATAGCTGATAAGTTAACTGATGATATAACAGATAAAATAGCTGACAAGTTAACTGATGAATAACAGAAAGATTACCAGATGAATGAAGTCTCTGGCTGCAAGTGCAAGTATATCTGCACAAGACACAACACCAGGGCATTTACTCTCCACCATTGCCTTGGCCTTTTCGATGATATCATACGCTTCCACCGGGATTTCCTTGTTATCCTGCGCATCCTTCTCTGCCAATTCTTTACTTCCAGGCTTGCTTGATATCAGAATTGAACCATCACATCCCTACACAATATATACATACATATATATATATATATATATATGTATGTATGTACATCATCAGCGCATTACAGCAGCAGATGGCTTCGTATGCTAACATGCACACATACACACAATCTGTGTGTTTGGTGTAAGTAAGTTGATTAATAAACTTGTGGTAGCTACCTACCTCTACGAAGCAGTCGTGGAAGAAGAGGCGGATGGTGGCGGAAGCGGTGGCCGGAGACTCTTTGAGTTTCTGAGAAGCAACGAAACTGACGATGTGTTCGAGGTTAGGGCAAGTTTTGTCGTAGTAATCCACTGTCAGGTAGCGGTGGCTTAGGAAGGAAGAATTAATGAAGGCGGTGGCTCCAGAAGCAATCCAGCTGCTTGTGAAAAGGAAGGCTATGAGAACTGGAGACGAAACAGAACAGAGAGACATGGCGACGATGACTCAGTGACTCAGTGACTTTGGTTTGTGTAATGGTAGGAGGACTTAATTATAGAGGCATGCTCATGTTAAATCAAGTCTGGTGTCTTGTTATTTATTGACCATTTGTATGTACCAACCACATGTATAGTTTTAGAGTTGATTGTTGATTTGTTTGGTTCATGTGGATTGATGTTTTTATGGTATGTTTTATTGTAGATTTGGTTTTTGTGGTATTTAATTTGTTTTGATAATGGTTCTTTTGATTAACGTTTCTGTTAAATCAGGGTTAGGTTTACTTTGCGAATCATGTTTTTTATACAAACCTTACAAATCAATTACATCTATCCATTTTCATGATTAAAGGCCACGATTAAAATAAGTTATTTTAGTAAAGTAAGAAAATAAATTATTATTATTTTCAACAAGAAAAGGGTAAAACAGGAATAAATTGTAAAGTGTTGCGATCATTGAAATCCCCTTTCTCACATTAAATCCCGTGAACATGTTTCATTGGACACTATGAAACTGTTAATAATGGGACAATATATAGGCTATTTTGAAGTGTTAATAATGGGACAATAGGCTATTTTGAGGTGTTAATAATGAAACAAAATGAAACTATAGCATTGGACAGAATGAAACTATGACCCAACCCCCTCCTCCCCCCCCCCCTCTCTATATATCTCTCTCTCTCTCTCTCTCTCTCTCTCTCTCTCTATATATATATATATATATATATATAAGGAGAGATCCATTGAAAGAGTATATTTAGGTCTTGTTTGATAAAAATAAGCTAATTAATTTTTTAAGGTACACGTTTGAATGGAAATAAGCTAGTTTATAAGTTAGCTTACTTGAAGTATTGTTTTAGTAGCTTATTGTCATTTTTCTTATATAATCCTCATTAATATTAATTATTATTTATTAATATAAATTATAAATAAATATTAATTATAATTTGAATATTACTAATACTAATATATATTAATCTTAATATAAATT